ACCGTAATGCTCCGACCCACTCCCGTGTCCGTGGTCCCCCCAACCACACCTATAGCTCCCGCATTCCCTGCCTTGATGGGCCACCTGCCTTGCTCAGCCTCCGGCTCTCCCCGCTGCTGGGCCAGAGCAGAGCTGCCTTCTCCGTCCTTGGGCCATTCGCGGGGAGAGGTGAACAGGGGCTTCCGAAGACCCCAAAGGACCCTCCCTCTCCAGCCTTGGAAGAGACCTTCCCCCCCTCCCCACCGGAGGCTTACCGGCGCTGTGCCCACCGGGTTGAACCAGCCTGGCCTCTCCCAGCCGTGTCGCTCCTGGAAGACGCAGCCCTGAAGCAGCAGCTCCTGCAGGCAGAGGAGAAAGCGGGGTGAGCGCCTGGGGAAGCCCCTCCCCACTCCTCACCCGAAGCCTCAATCTCCTGCCCCACAAACAGCCCCTCTCCTCGGCCCTGGCTTCAACCCTCTGCTCCATCCCACACTTTGGTTGCAGCCGGTTGAAGGTCTGGCCCCAAGACAGAGCCAGGGACCCCTTCTCTGAAGGAGGACTCTCTAGGACTTGGGGCTAAGCTCCTCCACTCCTCCAACCCTTGTCGGGGGCATCCTTGGCCTCGGTCACTGGCTCCCCCCTTTGCAGTGGAGGATTATCTGGGGAGAAACTGCTAGGTTGCCTCTCGCACCCAGACAGCTCCCAGGCTTCAATTGCCCGTGGGGCTCAGGCTGCAGCAGGAGGATCAGGCCATGTAGGTCTCTCCATGCCCACCCCTTGCCATTCCCCATCTCTCTGCTGTTTCATTCCCTGGGAGACCCGAGAGCTGCACCTAGAGTGTCCCAGGCGCCTGGCTGGGGAAGATGAGCCCGCCTTGTCTCCCAGAGACAGAACCAAAATGGCTCCCTCTGCTTGGCCCTCCTAGGCTGGTGAAAGCAGAAATGCCCAGTTCCTCTGCCCAGAACAGAGCCATAGACAAAGGAGACTGGACTCTGGCGCGTCTCCTGCAAAGTTTGTGCCCTGAGGGATGTGCAAGAGAAACAGAGGGGCAGGAACAGGTTGCTTTGGGGTAAAGAAAATGAACCGGGATGCAAAGGGGCATCATGGAGGGGACCCAAATGCAAAGTCCTTCATTCGCCAACCTCCCACAAGCAGTAAGTTGTTGGCACCTGGGGTAGTGCCAGGTCTGGTTGCCTTGGCAATGGGATTTCCCCCTTCTGCAAAAAGCTAGGAGCAACTATGAAGGGGGGAAGGGAAGGACCGTTTGATTGGGAGGGGTAGAAATGCTTATGGAGGGCTGGTCTCCTTGCTGTGGCTCAGCTGATCCTGTCCAGAAGAGCTCCACATTCTTCTGCTGCCCCACATTTTGCTCTGGCAGCCCAGAAACGGAGCCCCACCCTCACCCCCAATGCCCCTTGGCTTCAATTAACCCAGGCTCTCCAGATCAAAGGCCAGAGCCAGAGAGGGGAAGGGGCCTAAGGGCCTGGGCTGCCAGACAAGAGTGTCTCTAGGCGTGGTAAGAGTGCCTCAGGGCTCTGTGGTTAGCAGTGATATCAGGCCAACTGGCCACTATATCTCTGCCTGAGGCATGTGATGCACCCAGCAACTCTGGCCTCACCTCATACAGAGGGTCCTTCCTCAAGTTCCGCCCGGCCAGGGGCTCATCGTAGGGGAACACGATGGAGTAGTTCTTGGCGTAGGACTCATGGCTCCTCTCTCGGATCCAGCGGCTGTTGCCGGTAAGGAACCGGTGAAACCTCCTGAAAAGCCAGGTGGACTTCATTATCACAGTTGGAGGGGGGAGGTGTGGGACAACCAGCACCTGGGAGCCCCCAAGGAAAGCAGCTGGACCCAGGTGGCCCTTGTGGACCAACGATGACATCCACAGATCCATCACACAGGACCCTCTGACAGCTGAAACTCTGGGGAGAGTGGGGGGAGCTTATCAGGGGCCGGAAAGAAGGCAGACCTTAGGGGGGGATCTGGCAGGAACAGATTTGAATGGCTTAATGAACACCAGCTGCCCCTGCTGAGCTGGAAGAACTAACAGCTTTTGGTACCACCACAAAGGGAACTGGGAAAGTTCAAGGAAGACCCCACTGAGCCTGGAGCCCCATCCCTCCTTTATCCCCAGCGGTTTTGGAGAGGCTGGAGAGAAGTGGGGCTGCTCTATGAAATCTGGTGGCCTTTGGAAAAGCCGATCCGGATTTTCCTCAGCTCCCACCACCCTCTTGGGGTACTGCATCTCTGAGCAGGAGTGGAGCAAGAGCCACTTGGGGTTCATCCTGCCAACTCCCCGAAGACCAGCAGGTCCCATGTTCAGAAGGACAGACTGCAGGCAATCAGCACCTCAGGGCAGCACCCTGTGACTGGGGTGTGTGGCTACAGTGCCCATTTCCACCCCACACATCAAGGGCTTGGTTTTCTCTCCCACCACCTGCTGGGGCAGCAGGGGAAGTGGTCCACTCAAGGCCTGGGAGGAGGGGGGCTGCACACAAACTGTAAGGAAGAGCCCCCCCACAGCCCCAATGCAGCAACAGCATTTATCCCTCCACCGGATTAGAGACCAACCATGAATTTGCTTGGCAGGAGAACAGCGAGGAGCTGCTGCTCACCTAATGTCATAGCTGAACATGTCCATCTCCGGATGTCCGTGGACAATCCAGTGGGCCAGTTCCTTCCCACAGCCTCCTCCGAGCATCATTCCTGTGGAAAGGGAGGGCCAGAGGTCAGAGGGCGCACCTCCTGCCAATTCTTTGCTGTTCAATTCAAGGCTGCTTCTTTTGCTGGACAACTCTGGCTGCCCTAGACAACCAAATTTCTGCTTTCCTCCACGTGGAAGAAAGCTATTTTCTGACAAATCTTGCAGGGTTCTCACTCGCTTATTGGCTCGGAAGACCGTTCCAGCTTGCAAATGTATTTAAATGTGACCTTTACAGGCAGCAGCTTTTCACTCAAGGCCACGTGGCCACCTGAAGAATGAGAAGCTGCAGGAGATAAAATTAACACAAAGCTCAATAAGGGCTGAGGAAAGCGGAGGAGGCCCCACCTGATGGATAAACACCAAGAAACACTCCTCAATGCCAGGGAAAACCCATCTCCAACTCAGCCCTTCATCCCCTCGAGTCTGGGGCAGGAAGCAATGAGGGTAGGAGCAGCTTGGAGAGGCAGGCCAAATGGCCAAGGGCGGGTGCTGCTTCTGCACAGCAAGACCTTTGGGAATGGGTGGTGGTGTCAGGGGGCTCTCCCAAATTCTCTGGCAAGGTGAGGGTGCCGGGTTGGGTGACATTTTTGCATCAGGAGCAGCTCTGGCCTCTGTGGAGTGGGGTGGGGTGCCCAATGGGGAACCATTGAGCCACTATGCCAAGCACATTTATTTAAGGGGGGGGTGTGTTTCTCTGCTGCTGTATTTATGGAGCTCTCTCTCTCTCTCGCCTACTAGGCTCTTCTAGGGTGTGAAAACCACCAGCAAAAGACTCTTCCGCCTCCTCTCCAAACACACCCAGCCAATCTCACTAGGGCCCAACAGCCACCCCCACCCCACCGGATGACGCTGGGCTTGTGCTTTTGGGGCTCCTTTGGAACCTCGTTCCCCTCTCAGTCTCCTGTTTCCCCAACCAGAGTGTCCTGGGCAACCACTGGCAGCCTCTCTTCTTACGGACTTGGGCTGAGCACTTTCCCAGAGCCAGGCAGGGGCGCATTTCCCCAACCGTCCTACCTGCTGGGAAAGCTGCCAGGGTTACTTTAGGGCTTCCTCCTTACCGGCACTGTTGAAGCCACATCCCAGGAAAAAGCCGCGGACTTCTGGCGCTTCCCCTAAGAGAGGTTTATGGTCTGCAGTGAAGGATTCTGGGGCAGGGAGAAAGAGAGGGGGGGGATTAAATGTGGTGCAGCAATTCCGGCTTTAATCCTGAGTGCTAATGCTGCAACTTTAGATATGGTATGCGCATCAAGAGTCAGAAATCTCTAATTCCTGGGAATGAAAATTCTCTCTCTCTCACACACACACACACACAGACAACACATACAGATATGGATATGGATTTCTCTGTGGAAAGATCATGCTTGGAACACCATAGACCAGTGCACAACTAAAGTGCAGAAGAGGAAATAGTGGGGTGGGGATGGGGGAAGGTATGTGTTTGTGTGTGTGTGTGTGTGTGTGTGTGTGTGTGAGAGAGAGAGAGAGAGAGAGAGAGAGAAATGAGAGAGACATTAGAGAAAGAGAGAGAAGTGAGAGGAGAGAGGGGAGTTGAAGGAGACGGGGGGGGAGAATGGAGAGGGAGGGAGAAAAGACTGAAGAGAGAGCAGAGAAAGAAGGAGGGAGGGAGGGAGGGAGAGGTGGGGAGGTACAGAAGAGAGAAAAGCACTAGTCCACTTGCAGCTCCCGCTGGCCGTGGGGCTGCAGACAAAAGCACCCCAAATGTCCTGGGCCTCCCCCTGGTCTCTGCCTCTTCCTCAGGGAAAGTCTTATTATTTTAGAGCTTAAAAAAAATACGTCTCCTTGAGAGTCCTTGGCAAAAGCCTTCCCTAATTGAGCTGAAAATACTTGACTTCATATTTTTAAAAACTGTCTCCCCCAAAAAGTCTTCTTATTATTATTTAATCCCTACTTAATTCAAAGAAAGTACCATTTTGCATTTTCCCCCTTCAGCTGAATATTTATTTAATTATGACTAATATAGGAAAGTAAGAGGCTTAAAAAAGCTGATTCAGTTTCTGCCGGTAAAGACTTATTAGTTTGGGGATTGAACTATGAGAAAAGGTGAGCTATAAATATTCTGACTACATCAAACTTCTCTGGCTGAAGCTCAGCTCCATTCAGCGCAGGAGACTTTCTTCCCTCACCTTGCCAGATAATTTGTTGACATCTGGAAGGGCAGCTGTCAGTTACCGAAAGCAGCAACTTGGAAGAAGCAGGCAGCGGGGAGATGGAACAGGAACCCAGCTGTGGGTGGGGGGCCTTCCCAGACCTTCCCTCCTCTTGGCGACCACTTCCCACCATGGGAAAATGGCAGTGGACTTATCTGAACTGCATGTTTCGAAGAAAGGTATGGGAGGAGTAACCAATGGGTATTTACCCAGCCCTCTTGCCTAGGAGACTGAGGTAATCTTTTGAGGCCACACCTACGTTCCTCCTCTGACCTCTCCAGATTAATCGATGGATCATAGCAGAACACCTGAAAGGAAGGACAAAGAACAGCACAACACACATCCTTCCTGTCTGCTACTGCTTGACCTTTGAGCTAACTCTGGCCCCCTTGGCACTGGGCGCCCTATACCGGGGGGGGGGAAGTGACTCCTCCCACACCTTTCTTCGAAACATGCAGTTCAGGTAAGTCCAACTGCCAATTTCCGAAGTGAAGGTGTGGGAGGAGTAACCAATGGGACATACCAAAGCTATGTCCTGGGAGGGATTAGATCGGCCTGAGCCACCTGGAGAGTCAAGGACTCCCTGCAATACCCTCCTGCCGAAGGCAGCCTCCACGGAGGCGTAAGCGTCTAGCCAGTAATGCCTAATGAAAGGCGAGGGAGAAGACCAGGCGGCAGCCCAGCAGATCTCCTCTATGGGTGCCTGGGTGGACCAGGCTGCTGAAGTGGCCGCACTTCTGGTGTAGTGCACTGTGATGCCCTCTGGGACCTGGAGTCCCCGTGCCCCGTAGGCCAGAGATATGGCCGCTCTAATCCACCTGCTGATGGAGGTGGATGGCTTATAGGATACAAAGAGGGCTTCTGAACGCCATGAGCTTCAGGTAAATGCGCAAGGCCCTTCTGACGTCCAATTTGTGCCAGGATCTCTCCCTCTCCCTGGAGGGTTGGGGACAGAAATCTGGCAGAACTATCTCTAGGGCCCTGTGTTGACCTTGGGCATGAACGCGGGGTCCAGCCTGAGGATGACCCGGTTCTCTAGAAAGGTGCAGAGGTCCGCTCTGCTGGAGAGAGCGTTGATCTCAGACACTCTCCTGGCTGAGGTGATGGCAACCAGGAAGATGACCTTAAGGGTCAGAAGTTGAAGGGAAACCTCCCTCAAAGGTTCAAATGGTGCCTCCGTCAAGGCCTGGAAGATCCTGGGTAGGTCCCCGGTGGGGAATTGATGGATCACTGGGTGTTTCAGATTCGCCGCTCCTTTAAGGAAGCGCTTAGGACCAGGTATTGGGACAAGGGAGGAGCATTCACACAAACACACCAGGACCGTAGAGAGGGCGGAGACCTGTCTTCTAAGAGTGCTAGTGGCCAGACCCTTCTCTAGTCCCTCCTGGAGGAAATCCAGAACCTGTGGGACAGACGCCGAAGCTGGACGGTGACCCTTAGTTCAGTTCAGTTTCAGTTTATTAAACTTGTATGCCGCCCTATTCCCGAGGGGACTCAGGGAGGCTAACAAACCAAATAGGGAAGGGGAGCAATACAAAGAAAACAAACAAGACAAAACAAAATACAAAAAACAGATTAAAAAACTCATCAACAGCCGCAACAATTCGAGTGGAGCTGGGAACTCATCAGCCCCAGGCTTGCCGGAACAGCCAGGTCTTAACGGCTTTGCGGAAAGCCTGAAGGTGATGAGGGTCCGAATCTCCACGGGGAGATCGTTCCAGAGGGCCGGAGCAGCCACAGAGAAGGCCAGCCAGGAGGCGTTGTAAATACGAGTGGTGGACCGTTTCCTGCACGCCTCCACTGTCTTGATGAACGCTCTCGGAAAAATGAGCCTCTCTCAGCTGTTCCCGCTCAATCACCAGACGGTCAGATGAAGCCACTCTGGATCCGGATGCTCCAGGGACCCCTGGTGCAGGGACACCTCCCCCACTGGGATCCACCAGTGGGGGGCTAAGGACAGATCCACTAAATCTGCCAGCCAGGGGTGGCGAGACCAGAAGGGAGCCACCAGAATGACCTCCGCTCCCTCTGCCACCCCCCCCCCCTCAGGACCCCAGGGATGAGGGGAAGCGGGGGAAAGGCATAGAGAAGACCTGGTGGCCATCTGCATCAAAGGGCGTCCGTGTCGATGGCTCCCTTGGCCGGGAACCTCGATATGAATCCCGGCAGCTGGGCGTTCTCTGGGGTCGCAAAGAGATCCACCGTCGGGTGTCTGAACCTCTCGCAGATCTGCCGGAAGATTGAGGGATGAAGCTGCCACTCCCCGTTGTTGATCATCTCCCTGCTGAGCCAATCTGCCTGCTGGTTCTCTGTTCTGGTGATGTGCTCCGCTCTGATGGACTGCAGGTGTCTCTCTGCCCAGTTCCCCAGTCATAGGGCCTCATCGCGAAGAGCCTTGGAATGGGTGCTGCCCTGCCTGTTCACATGGGCTTTGGCCGCCACGTTGTCCATCAGGACGAGGACATGGTGTCCGGTCACCGTGTTCTTGAAGTGACGAAGGGCCAGGTGGATGGCCCTGAG